GGGCAGGGTCTAATGGCTCGCTGTCCAGCTTCCTGATTGGTTGGGAAGCTGGCCAATCAGAAAGCCTGGCGCTGTGTAATGACGCAGCGCCCGGCTTTCTGATTGGCCCGGAAGCCGGCTCCATGCTCCCTTGTCACCTCGTGACAAGAAGCATAGAGGTGGCTTCTCTGGTAATCGGGAAGCTGGGTGGCGAGTAATTACACGGTGCCTGGCTTCCTTAATGGGACTTCTGGTATCGGTATTCGGTATCGGCAAGTACCGGAAAAAAATATATGTACTCGATACCGAAATACCCATATCAGTGCATTCCTATTTATTGTGATGAACCTGTCTGGTGAGTTTGTAGCAATGCAGACAGTCCTTCTTGCAGACACTTTCCCCAGACTGAAGCCTACACTCAGAATGTGACTCTGAACCGGCCTGCAGACAGTTCTCATTCAGACGCTTTGATAAATGAGGCCGCCAGCAGTGTCATGGAGTCTCTCCGGTTACCTTGAGGTTGACGCTGAGCACAGCATCAAAGGATTCCTCCGACAAGCGAAGCAGAAACTCGTCCCGTGTGATTCCGGCGCTGCTGACGGCGACACGAGGAGGCGAGGAGAAGAGCGACTGAGGAGACAAGGCCGAGAGGTTATCTGCAGAACCGCCAGGCCCATCCCAATCCCACAACACCGCTCCCCGTCTACCTGGATCTGCTCCATTAGCGCGCTGACGCTGTCGGCCCGGGAGACGTCGGCCGCGAACGCCGCGTGCTCTTGTCCGGGGAGGTCACGCGATAACATCCGTAGCGTGTCATTAGCAGAGTTGACGTTCACGTCGACGACGGCGACCGAAGCCCCTTCACGGGAAAGTCTCTGGCACACCGCTCTTCCGATGCCACTGCCGCCACCTACAATATAAAAGGGAACAGGATATTCCAATTACGTATTTGGAAGTGACTCGTACCCACAGGGGCCTGGAAAAGGACCTTAAAGTAGATGCAATCCCTAACATTTAAAGTGTGGGGGGGATTTCCTAAAACTGGAGCAGACAGAATCTGAAGCAGTTGCCCATGGCAACCAATCAGCATCTCTCTCCAGTTTGCTCAGGTAAGATTTGAAAATGAGAGAGAGAAGCTGATTTGCTGCAGTGCAACTCTGCTACAGCTTTGATAAATTCCCCCCACTGTGTGTTTGTCACATGCTATCGCACAGTGCACCTAATGCAGGGGTAGGAAAACTCTAGCCCCCCAGCTGTGGTGAAACTACAAATCCCATTATGTATCTGCCTCTGAGAGTCATGCCTGTGGCTCTGAGAACCTTGTAACGCCTCATGGGATTTGTAGTTCCACAACAGCGGCAGGGCTAGTGTTAGCCCTCCCCCTGCACTAGCCTATGCAGAAACCACAAATCCCATCATGTATCTGCCTCTGAGAGTCATGCCTGCAGCTGTGCGAGTCCTGCAATGCCTCATGGGATTTGTAGTTCCACAACAGCTGGAGGGCCGGAGTTTGTGCGCCCCTGACCTAGCATGTGGTACTGTGTATGACACCTCCCAGCTGCTGTGTGTTGCATACACTACTTTTTTTGCACCCCATAGCATGCAAGGCATTGTGCTACTGCAATGCCTGGCTAACCAGGAGGTGTGTTGGGGGGTATTCTAATAAATGGCCCCATAATTCACACTTGATAGAGAGTATTCTCAGAAAGATTCTGAAACCTTTTTGCAGGTTTTTGAGCAATTTTTTTTCAGGCCTGAGAGTTTTTGTTTCAGGAAATTGAAAGCTAAGGTTAGTATGAGGAGACGGTTGCTAGGAAGAAAAACCACACTGTATGCAGCTTTACAAGGGTTCAGATTGAAGTCTAACGGGTTAAAAATGTGCAATTCTGCCCCCTAGAGAAAAATGAGCAGTTAACCCCTTACAGTGCAGGGAAGGGTTAACTTTTTATACTTCTGGAGATCCCGTTTAAGGATTAAATTCAAAGCAAAGTTGCATTAAACAGAAAGGCAGAAGGAGTCATAGTGCAGAGTAAGGCAGAAAAGAAGAAGCTAAGATAGATAGATAGATATATGTATACACAGAGCAGAGTAGAATCAGTAACATTGTGAGATCACAGACTGTCATTCAATGACCTGTCACCAGAGCCAGTGTGGACTTCAGCCTGCTGGAGGCAGCCATGATCCCCTGTCAGTACTGACCTCCACCATAGAGTCGGAAGGATAGACCGGCCTCACACCATAGAGAGGAGGGGGAGGAAGGATCGTCCTGCAGACAGCTCAGCTTGCTGGCACAGGCGACTGGCTGCCCTGAGAAGCTGCGGAGACATTTTTCTTTTAATGAGATGGAAGCAATATTATAAAACACTGCAAAAGGAATGAAATGTGAATGCCTCCATAATGAGGACCTGTCACATAAAATGTACTGTCACATAGGGGCTTGTAATAAAGTTAAGTAAAAAAAAAGGGTTTTAACCGCTTGAAGACCAGGTGTTTACACCCCCTTCCTGGCCAGGCCATTTTTCAGTGTTCAGCGCTGCGGTACTTTGACTGACATTTATTCCGTCATGCAACGCTGTACTGAAATGAATTTTATACCATTTTATGGGGACAGATAGAGCTTTCTTTTGGTGGTATTTAATCACCACTGCTGTTTTTATTTTTTACTATAATTAGGAGAAATCGCAGAAAACTACCATACTCAAAATTGGCCATAGGCGACGCTTTAAAAGCTTTTGTCGCTCATCAGTTTAGTGTTATCAGTGATTGATGGCCCTAGACTTATTGCTCTCATGGCGACGTTCGCGACGACATGTAACACGCGCGGCATAATGTGCGCAATCGTCGTTATCGCAGGTATGCGCCCCCGATGCATGTTTGCATGCGTGTATGTATGGGTGGGGACTTTACAAATAATGTGGTTTTTTTGTGTTACTAATTTTTTTGGAAGAGGGGACTTTCATTTTTTTTTCCACTAAACTTTATTGCTATCACATACGGGGGCTAATAAAAACCCCTTATGTGATAGCAAAATATGTGACAGGTCTTCTTTATGGAGACATCAGGGGTCTCCAAGACTCCCAATGTCACCTAGGACCCCCCAAAAGAAGCTGATGAAGCACAGATCTGCTCCATCAGATTCTGAAGCTGGAGAGTGACACAAGAATGCGGAAGTGATGTAATATACAACACTTCCGCATTCTTGCAGTGGAGAGGTGACTGGAGGGAGCTCATGTACCGATCTCCCTCTGACCCCCTGTGACACAGGCACCATGCTGATCTTAGGCTGGCACCGGCCACAGTGGAGCCTGGGACCAGCGGGACAACGGCAGAGGGGGTGACAGCGAGGGGGGGGGCACCGATCGTTACCTAATACCTATGTTGACAGGCATCGCTGCCTGTTTTTGAATATCGGGCATTTCCCGCTCGCGCGCGCGCAATGGGGCGTGTCTGAGCAGACGTCTAAAAACGCCCGCTCAGATCTAGAGAGCTCCCGGCCGGCTGTTTTTTTTAACAACGGCCGGCCCGGAGGTAGTTAAAATAATAAAATCTATTAAAATAAACTAAAATAAACAAAGAAAATTAGTAGATTCTCATCCCTTTTTACACACACATGCATACGCACATCTAGGACGCTCATACGTAAACAGCAATCAGGTAACATATTAGGTATCACCACACACGCTAGTGTTCTGTCAAGGTGGCCAACTCATCGAGATCACCAACTTGTGGCGTCAGGTCCGTTGTAGATTTCGACGAGGCGGCGCTAGTGCACTTGCGCCAGCCGTCACGGTTTTGGCAATCCTCGTTGACTTCACTTGCCTTAGGTGCGGCTTCGAAATTACCATCGAGTTCTCCAACTCCCGTCGGTGCTTTTTGCTTCGGGTGCCCGCGCATTGTAGAGCTTGATACTTCTCCTGGGTGGCTGCGCAGGCGCACTGACGGGAGTTGGAGGTCTCGATGAATTGGAGGATTTGATAGAATCCCACGCACTTTTTTGTTTGTTTTCTAACTGGGGGGGAGGGGGAGGTCCCTCCTAACATTCTTACCAGACCTAAAGGGTCTGGTATGAATTGGGGGGGAACTTCACGCTTTTTTCCCCCCTATACTGCAGACTGTGGAAAAAAAAAAAAAAATTCTCAAATGTAATTTTGCTGAAACGAACACGAAACGAAATTTCGACCGAACTGACGCCAACGAACTTTTCCGAATCCCGAAACGAATTGAATTCCGAACCCGACAAACGAAATAAAGCAAACTCCGAATCAAAACAAAACTAATATTTTTTGCCAGTGCACGTGTCTATTCGTTATTACTTTTTCACACCCAGCCTTACCATGCTGCCCAGAAGTTTGTGGACACCTGACAATATCTATATGAGCTTGTTGGACTTCCCATTCCAAAACCAAGGTGACCTCCCATTGTGGCTTACAGTAGCCTCTCCTCTTCAGGGAAGGCTTTCCACTAGATGGGATATATCTGCGGGAATTTGTTGCCATTTCTGAGATTCGGTACTGATGTTGGATGAGAAGACTTAGCTCTCAATTGGCATTTCAGTTCGTCCCAAAGGTGTTCAGTAGGGTTGAGGTCGGGGCTCTGTAAGGCCACTCAAGTTCCTCCACACCAAACCATGTCTTTATGGAGCTGGCTCTGTACACAGGGGCACAGTCATGCTGGGACAGAAAAGGACCTTCACCAAAAGTTTCAAAGCACACCATTGTCAAAAATGTCTTTGTATGCCTTAGCATTACCCTTCACTGGACACCTGAACTTCATCCTTTGAATGGTGTCCACAGAATGTTGCTATATGGTGCAGATGTAGTGGTCAGGTGTCCACAAACGTTCGGCTACATAGTGTTGCACAGCCAAGTCCTAGCCTATGCAGAGTGAGAAACCAGAGATGCCGATTGTCCTTTTACTTTGGCAAAGCCAGGAAAACATTGTATATGCCAACCTACATTGGATTCTGCAGCTGCATCATCTTGGCGACTTAACATTAAAGTAATATGGGTCCCCAGAGATTTTGTGACTGTCCTAGTCTGCACAGAATAAGTGCACATTATGGAATACTTACATCTCACAGCGCCCTCCACCAGCGATGGAACGTCCATGCTCCACCTCATTGCCAATGCCATCTTCTCCCATGTCCAGTCTTCAGCAGTCTTGATTGGATGGCCAGACATGCCGTAACTCCCACGCACGTACACAAGATTTACCCACAACTTGTTGGGAATGTACACTGAAAATATGTGTTGTAGGCAGAAAAGGAACATTAATGGCAGAAGATATATACAGAGTCTCTTCTGCCACGAAAGCTACCTGGTAGAAATATTTAAGGTGTATGAATAGGCAATCTATTTTTTAGTTTTAGATACAGTTGTAAAGGGTTAAACCTCCTATCAGATTGTTTTTTTGCTGTCTCAGTCCTGCTCAGGAGACCTTTCACTTTTTGTCGGAGACACAACAGGAAGTGAGAGGAAATCTCCCCAAAGTGAGGAGAGTTCCTCTCTTTGTTGTAAGCAGAACATTTGTCCACATTGGAAGATTTCCCCTCACCCCTTGCTCTTATAAAAATTCTTAAATCCAGGTAAATACTGACTGCCTAATATTGTATTGTATAACCCTGTGTACAGTACTTACACTCCATGACCCATAACACTGACACAACAGGAAGTGAGAGGAAATATCCCCAAAGTGAGAAGACTTCCCATATTAGTTGTCACCACATTGGAAGATTTCCCCTCACCCCTTGCTCTTATAAAAACTCTTAAATCCAGGTATATACTGACTGCCTAATATTGTATTGTATAACCCTATGTACAGTACTTACACTCCGTGACCTATACCACTGACACCCCAGTCAATACTGTATACTGGTTATAATCTCTGACGTGTTATTTGTAACCCTGATGGAGGACCCTTTGAACTCCCAAAATGCATTTTTTTTTTTAAAGATTCTGAATAAAATGGAATCCGGACTTTATACATTTTGCTTTTGGAGCTTTCCTTTTCGCACACCCAGTTCCTATTCCAACAAAGAGCCAACTTTCAGTCACCACGCCTGGGAGAGCTCAGACAATTATTCCATCAACACTACTTAAAAGGAGAAATATGAGGTGATTTTCACTCACCTCATAGTTCGAGCCGACGTGTGATAATGAAACTGTCACAGGTCGGCTCAATAGATCGGGAAGTGAGCGAACACATACCGTCGCTTGCTCACTTCTCGATCTATACCTGCAGAGCCGTGCCTGTCACTCACGGCTCCCTGCAGGGATCCCCCCCCTCCAGCACTGACTGGAGGAACGGACGGGGGAGGGGACGGGTACAGCTGGCTCTAGATAGGCAGATCCAGCTGGCAATCTCGCAGCTGGGTGGATCGCGACAGTAATATCGGGATCCGTCCCGGCTGCGGCGGTCTCAGTATACCGCGAGCTGCAGCTTGCGGTATACTGAGCTTTGCGTCACGGGAGGACGCTAGTTTGCGAGACCCTGAGAACTATGGGGAACAACATTTGCCTCACAGTTCTCCTTTAAGACCTGACTGAGAACACCTCAGCGGATCCAGCACCCCACACCCTTCATCTACTTCCCTAGAAATAAAACATTTACAAAGGATCTAACCCTTCCAAATCTTTACAAAACAAAGGAACAAGGCTAACTCCTAGCAGTGCAAGAGAGGCAGACAGCACAGGAAATGATCAGCTCACAGGATTCCCCATATGCTATTTATGCACTTATTGAACAAATATGAGAAAATGTTCTCGCTACCATACTTAGCAGACCAAAAGTGGTAGTCCATTGTTAAATATGGATTGTTGCATTGAATGTGTAAAAATACTTAAAGAACTAAAGACAAACCTTTTCCGGCTTTATTTTGTCTTTTGGGTCACAGGATATTTATTATTGTACTCCTGGGACCCAAACTCAGCATATAGCAGGCTACTGCCCGCTATATGCCGTCATCTCAGAGCCGCGATGCAGCCGAAAAAGATGCTAATATTGTCGGGATCCAACCCGCTGCTTGATTGACAGCTGGCTCCGCTTCTCTAGACCCACCCCTCCTTATATGTCCCTACAATGAGCACTGGAGCAATGGAGAGAGAAGGGGCCAAATCCCTGTGGGGAGTGATGACTGACAGTCACCATACTCTGCGGGGAGAAGCACGGAGATGAGCGATCAGCAATTTGTGATTGCTCAATCCTCGATCTGTAGAGCCAGCTGCAGCGTCACACAACAGCTCAAAGTATTGGGAAGAGTACATTTTACTCTCCCCATAGTTCTACTTTAAATATCAATAGCATGACCACTTGAATGGCCCGTCTTCAAAACCCCTCCATCATTGCAGCATCGTACGGATTACCAGTAGCGCTCCTAAGAGCAAAAAAAGAATACACAAAGAACACTGAAACCATTTTCATTCTTTTTATTTAATTTTCTGTCCTAGTTACTTAAAAAAAAATAAAGGAGGAAATCCTCCAGAGAACCAACATTAAAAGCTCCCAGCAGCCCATGGAAAGCACTTAAGAGATAGCTTGTGCCTACAGCAATCAGGAATATAAAGCTGCAATGCCGCTGCCTGTAAGCCAGGAGGCGCCACCTCTTCATATGACAAGTTCCTTTACCTTTCAGACCGAAGGACAGTAACAAAAATAAAACTAAAACAAACAGGATACACTGTAATGGGTATTGAGACATTATAGCTTCCAGTGCTTTCTGCGCTGTACAAAACAGCACCCTTTACCCCTCCGGCTGTTGCTGAACTACAAGTCTCAGCAAGTGCATGTAAACCTGAAGTCTATTTTCCAGTATGTTTGGCATTGTGCCTCTCTGTGTACAGTTTTCTTAAACGAGAACTATGGGGTCAGGGCTTTACCCCATAGTTCTCCTAAGGATAACAGGACGACACAAACTAGCGTTCTCCCGTCACCCAAAGCTCAGTATACCCCGAGCTACAGCTCACAGTATACTGAGACCGCCGCAGCCGGGACGGATCCCAACATTACTGTCTGGATCCACCCAGCTGCGGGATTGACAGCTGTGCCCGCCCCCTCCCGAGTACGTTACGCCAGTGAATCAGACAGAGGAGGGGGGGAATCCCTGCAGGGAGCCGTGAGCGACAGTATGTCTTCGCTCACTTCCCGATCTATTGTCACAGGTCGGCTAGAACTATGAGGCTGAGTGAAAATCACTCACCTCATAGTTCTCCTTTAAGAAAATAATTATCTCTGAATATGTTACAAGGTTTCTTACATGGAGATCCTTCCAGTAACAGCACTTCCTGTTCCAGGCCGACAACGCTAAGCCAGTGCCATGCAATCAACAGCAGCGTTCTCAGCCCACCATGTGAGCCCCTTTAGTTGGCCATTGGGCTGTTCATCAGGTCTATCAGAACGGCCAGCTGAAGGATCACACACGGCAAGCTGACAACACAGGTAACTGTGAAGGAGTGGATTAGTGTTGTGTCAGCACTTCCTGTTGCAAACGGACAACACTAAGCCAGTGCCTTGCAATAAGCAGCAGCGTTGTCAGCCTGCCATGTGAGCTCCTTCAGTTGGTCTTTGTGCTGTTCATCAGGTCTATCAGAACGGTCAACTGAAGGATCACACAGGGCAAGCGGACAACCCTGCTAATTGCGAGGGAGTGAATCATCATTGTCAGCCTTCAACAGGAAGTGTGGCTTCCTGGCAGGATCTCCAGGTAAGAACCTAGATTCACAACAAACTGCTTAGGAAAACTATACAGTGAGACAAGAAGCCAAACATTGTATAGAAGACGGTCAGCACTGCACACCCCTCAAAGGCCTCCCCCCATCTGGATGTGTATTGCAGGAGCTGACCAGGAGCCCGTCCACGCTTTGTGTGTCGCAGTAATACTCATAGAAAAGCTGCACACCTCTGACATCACCATAGATAAAACTTTTACTTCAGTAAGCTCCATGATTAGGACACCACCCCACCCAAAAACCACACACTACTCATGCGTTTCACCCTTATGGGATTAGGAGAGGTCTACAACTCAGCCCCTAAATGTAAACCGCTTCAGTGGTTGGTCATTTTGGAAATGGTAACTGTCAACATGGTCTCTGGTGTGCGGTTTTTCCTGGACTATTACTTAGACCCCAAACATACTGAAAAATAGGATTCAGGGTTTACATAGACTATATTGTGACTTTATAGTTATAGCTGGATGGGGGTGTCCGATAGACACACTCATTCCATATATACATTGCTCTACACCTCCCATCACCACTAATCCCATACAGAACAGAGAGGTCGTGTAACAATTTTTCAGTTTAGTGTCCTGATGCCGTCTGACCCAAACACAAATGTCAGTTTCTGCTCACTATCACTTTTTAACATGGCAAAGAATGGAAGACGCGCCAATAAAATAATTTATTAAAGGACCCCTGGGGTAAGAGAAGAGAGTCGCGTCTACTGTACAGTATTCAATGCTATAAAACTGGGAAGCGATGGAATGGAGCGAGCAGAGATATAAAAAAACAAAAATAGACGAAATTAATGATTACATAATAATTTGGTCCAGAAAAAAAAAGAAAATCCGGCCTAAAAATGAAGTGGGCAGACCATGATAATCACATTCTGAAGCCACTTGGGTGAAAGAAGGTGACATCGGCCTTGTCCTATGGCATTGCAACAGCACAAGGACTCAGCCAGCGTCTGACAATGACGCCCTTAGCGCTTTACTATGTCACTATTCACCGTGGCGCAGGTCCCAGCTAGATGGCCCTGCCAACAATCTATTCAAAGTGTGCAATGAGCACCATCATGGCGACCCCGAGAAGCAGCCCAATGGTCTCCTTGATGGACTGAGAGGGGCGAGAGTCTTGGAGCAGCTCAGGGATGACGGAGACTGTTGCGATGTAGATAAATCCGCCGGCGGTGAAAGGAAGAATCCACAAAGTGGCCGCTTCACCGATTCCTTCCGCCAAGAGGGAGCAGACAGTGCCTGCCAGAGCGCCCAATGCCGTGCTGAGCTGCAGCATCATCGCCTGTAACAAAGAAGAAGCTTGAATTTAACATGGATCCATAAAATTCTTACTGTATTGGGGGGTGGGTTGAGGGGGGGAGGTCAGGACCACAGCTTATATTACAGTGCAATGTTCTAAAATAGCCCACGTCCAAAGGGATGGTAGGGATGCCGTATAATACATGTGCTGTGCTGATGGAGATTAGTAAACACAGGCAGTCAGCTGCTGTTGCGTTCACCAAAGTTAGCTTTAGGTTGATCAGTGCATGTTATGGTAGTTTCATAGAGACATATAGAGCCTTGGTTCTCAACTGGTGGGTCGCGACCCAAAAGTGGGTTGCGACCCCATGTTCAGTGGGTCGCTGCATGCCTTCCACTTTTCTAGGTGAGAGGCTCCTCTGCCTTCCCCTAACGCAGCACTGTCAGTTCTCGCGCCAAGCAGCCATTCAGAATATGCTGACCGGTGCCGAGTGTTAGCTTGAGGTGGGATAGGATGGGGCTATGGCCATGAGCGAGCTCCATCCATACGTGCATTGCTTGCAGCTCCCTCATGTGTCCTGTAGAAGTGCCAGGACCAGGAGTAACGCACTGTACCACACAATCACACCTAGTACGTGTTCTGGTGCGGCAGGCATGTTGCGCTGCCATTCATTTGAATGGTACCCCAAACACACCTCCCACCCACAGTTCGATCGCCTGCAGTGGGACTTGGGTCGCGACTTAATGGCAAAGGACAAATGTGGGTCCTGAGGTTACACGGGTTGAGAACCACTGATATAGGAGGATACATTCACCTAGAATAAAGAATGGCATTGGATCCAAGGACATTCGCAGTTGCCCACACACACACACACACACACACACACACACACACACACCACACACACACACTTCCGACTGAAGACAATATTTATTAAAAGAGAACACAAAGTCATTAGAAACATAAGTACAATCTGTTCCTGCTTAGCCATACCAACCTTCCTCTTGGTGCAGCCACTCTGTACCAAGATGGCGAAGTCTCCGATCTCATGGGGCACCTCGTGCAGGAGAATGGTGATGGTGGTAACGATGCCGACGTTGGTGCTGACCAAGAAAGAGGCTCCGATGGCTAAACCGTCGGTGAAGTTGTGGGTGAAGTCAGCAGCAAGGTTGAGGTAGCCAGAGACGGTCATATCTGTATGGAGCAGAGGAAAGGGTTAAAGCGGATTTGAAAAAAAGGAGGGACAAATAAAAACAGGTCAGAACTTCTAAAAAAAAACGGAGTTAGTACTTCCTGGTAACTCTATTCCCAGTAGCCTTCCAGGACAGCCGGACTCATAGGCTGTCCTGGAAGACGACTGGGGGGAAAAAATAACTTTTGCTGATCTCCTCTCTCCTCAATTTGGCACCGTCTCCTGCAAAGGGTCCACTCCTGCTCAAATTGAATGACAGTCAGCTTCATTCCACCTGCTTCCTGTAAGTCCAGGCTGTCATGGACCCGCCCCCTGGAGGTGTCTCTTTAAGACAGGCAGGGCTCACAGTACTACTGCTCAATTGTGAGAGCCGTTCAGTGCAGGAATAAATATTTCTTACTGCGACAGGAACAAAGAAGGAAGCTGGATTGGCCAAAAGAGCCTTGGGGGAAAGAAAGGCATGTATTAAAAAATGTTATAGTTTTATTTTTTAAAAGAGAATGGGGTTGGCTCTGGAAGGAGGGGGTCCCAGTACACAGAAGTGTAATGTATGCATATAATACCTTCCCTTCTCCACCCCCCCCGACTGACAAGTAAGTGAACATTTCCAATCAAATCATTTTGTTTAAGAAATACCTGTTTTGAAACCCAATCACATCATCACTGCATCGATCTGCTAGTCTTTGCCGAGTTTAAGGTGAGAGGCTGGCAGGCTCCTGTAAATGTTACAGCACCCAGCCTTAAGGTCCCCACACACCTTACGATAATCGCGGGAAATCCCGCGACCGTACGATTATCGTAAGGTGTGTGGAAGCCGTGCGACCTCTACTACTGTAAGGTCGCACGACTTTTAAATTGCGAACATGTTTTGAAAACCCGCCGAGCATCGTACGATGTTTGGCAGGTGTGTAGCATGTCCGTACGATAAAAGCCGGACGGGCCGGTCTGTGCATTGCGGTCATCGGAAGCCCGCCCCTCAGGGCGGGGCTTGTGATCATCACAAGTACGATCTGCCTATGCAACATAGGCAGATCGTACGTTTTTTTAAGTACCTTACAACCATCGCAAGACAAAAGTCTTGCGATGGTTGTAAGGTGTGTGCCCAGCCTTAGATCTTCTTCCAAAATCCAGAGCGTTATATGAAATAACATCCCCGGTATCCCTTTAGACATGCATGCTTCTCCCTGCTGGCCACTGGGTGCTGCAGAATGAATCTGCGCAATCTGACAAATGGTTACATTGTATTTGAGGTTGAATAAAGACACAGGCCCATCAAGTTCAACCTGTGTGTTGGGTGGGTGTGTGTATATATGGTTGTTTGAACATGGATGTCTAAAGGGAAGCCGGGGTTGTGTCCTTTCAAATAATGCTCTGGAATAAAATTACTGATGGCAGAGAAAGCCGATAGCTGTGAGAGGAGGGCAACTACAGTACAGATCAGAAGGAGAGGGGATTGATAATGAAAGATACCATCAAAGTATCAAAGTCATTTGAACAGGAAATGAAGGCGGGCTCACGGTACCTGCTGTAGCTTCAAAAGGGAAAGGGTTATATTGTGGAGATGCAGGTTTACGGGGGAGTGACAGTAAACAAACAGTTTCAACACAGGAGGACTTGCTACAAGGGTGGGAAAAAATAGAAAGGCTGGAGTTCAGATTTAAAGCTGGAAATGGGCTATACAGATGAACTTCACGCAGATATAAAAGCATCAATAAACTGCAAATATGTAGCAATTAAAAATAATATATCCATTAGTTAAATTCAACTCATCCAAGTATCTGAATTCAGTGTACAGACTTGTAGGAGATGCTGCCAATAAACACACCGGCTGGCAGCACTTTAATGCCAATTGTCTGGTGGCCCCATATGAACATTGGATGATGTACAGAACATAACCAGAAGCACTGCAATCACCTGATCGTGGCGGCTCCTCTTTTCCCTTCTTGCCTTTCTGGCTGCCATTATTCTCGTTCTTCCTTTGCCTCACTCCCTCCTTCCCTTCCGATTTCTCATCTTCCTTATCCTTAGATTCACTGGCCTTGGCTTCCTTTGGAGCTGTAACAAAGGGCACATATGTCTACAGGCTGACCTTGTTCAAGAAGGAGAAACATGGAAATATTCAGAACAGCTAATAGGAGACTGACAGTTCTCAATGGAGCACAAGGGCAGAGATATCACTGCACATGTAATCCATTGATAACCCATTGATAAGTCCCTTCAGCCCCATGCAGAAGATCTGTACAGACTTGGGGGTGTAAACGATGCATGGGCCTGTGCACTGCAATGCTCTAATGCAGTAAATGCACATTTCTTTTTTTATTATATGTGGGTGCATCCATTTTTGGTAAAATGTGGACTATGCCTTTAAAGCCACTTGTAGAGTGTGTGCAGTATCATACATGGACATTAGTCTCTGGGTAATGCCCACACCTGTTACTGCTCAGGGTTCCCCAGCAAAGAGGAATGTCCCTGAGGGATTACTCTTGGTCACGACATAGGCTGGCAGATACGTCAATCTGGAGCCAAAACTATCGGCCCCGTGACCATTAGCCCAATCGCAGTTTACCACTAAACTACAGAAATTAAAGTGACATTAAACCCTCGGATTATTTAACATAAAACAATACTGTAATGTGCGCCTTACTGTAATCCATGGTTGTTTCCCTTCTCTTTGCTGCTCTTCCTTTTAAATCTGTATCTGTTCTCATGCTGGCAAAACTTCTGTTTTGCAGCAAACTGCCTTGTCTCTGGAATGTATATATGGTGTCTGTGTGTAGGTTCACAACCTGAGCCAGCACTACAGGAAGAGGCACTCAGCTGCAAAGGGAAGTTCTCCCCCAGCATGAGAAGACATGAGGATTTAAAAGGAAGAGCAGCAAAGAGAAGGGAAACAACCATGGATTACAGTAAGGCGCACATTACACTATTGTTTTATGTTAATAAATCTGAAGGTTTAATGTCACTTTAAGTCAGACTGGAACAAATAATAAAGTACCGATCGCCTTTATGTTTTTTTATGTTTCCCCAGCCGAAGCAAGAACTCCCATTGGCTGGAGCATGAAAACAAAGACCACCGCGCTGTGTGTGGGACAGTCTGACACGCCCCGCGCCTCGTCATCACTACAACGGTCATGGTTTCCAATTCATTGTAGCTGTGCCAAGGCGAGAGGGGCATGTCATACCGATGTACATAGACCGCTGTACAAAGCGTGGTGCTCTTCACCTGCACAGTCCCATATGGAAATGGGAATCTTCTGCTGGGGAAGAATTAAAAAAATAAACCAAAAGAACAAACAAGACCATTAGTACTTCTGCGGCTGCATTGTCATCGTTCCTAGCAGCTGCTTATACACGTTTTCTGTGTGACCTGGAGAGTATTCAGGACCGAGGACTCTTTCCCAGTCTCCATGTGCTAGGTACCTGAGCGGCCCATCAGCGTGCACCAGCATTGTGTCATGGAAGGGGAGGGAGTCACATGACCACCACGCCTCAAGTACCAAGCATGCCACTTTGCACATAACTCCACACAGATATATATAAAAAAAAAAGAAAGAAAAAAAAGAAGAGGCATCAATGGATGCAGATATCTGTTCATTACATTTATTTTGTTCAATAAGGAGCAACATAGAAAAATTCAGAACAGCTAATATGAGTACAGCAAACTGAAACCTTCTACAGCTGATTGAAAGGGTATCCTGGTGAGCTTTGTGTATTTCTTCTAGATCTGTGCAGTAATCCAATGTGAGACTTGGAGCTTCCTGTAATAAAGACCGCTCATTGCTGCGCTCTCTCTCTGTGCAGGGTGAATGGTCTTGTCTCCGCCCCCCCTCCTGTAATAAAGACCGCTCACTGCTGCTCTCTCTCCTTGTGCAGGGTGACTGGTCTTGTCTCTGCCCCCTCCTGTAATAAAGACCGCTCACTGCTGCTCTCTCTCCTTGTGCAGGGTGACTGGTCTTGTCTCCGCCCCCTCCTGTAATAAAGACCGGTCACTGCTGCTCTCTCTTGTGCAGGGTGACTGGTCTGGTCTCTGCCCCCTTTCCTGTAATAAAGATCAGTCACAGCTACTCTCTCCTTGTGCAGGATGACTGGTCTCGTCTCCGCCCTTCCTGTTATAAAGACCGCTCACTGCGGCCTTAGTTTTGTGCAGGATGACTGGTCTTGTCTCCGTCCCCTTCTGTAATAAAGATTGCTCACTGCTGGCAGACTGTAGTGGGTGGGGTCTGCTGGGTCCCTCCCACCGCTCCGCTATCTGCGCAGGCTATGTACAGCACAGTAATGATGTCACTGCTACTTTTACAAGGTAATATCCACTTATACCATGTTGACATTTGTAGTTGCTCAAGACTGCCATGCTCTAGAACCAGACACTCACTTACCGTGGCTATGCCCATGTCCAACCTCTCCTTTAAGGTGACGTACAATCTTCTCTACCACTAGGAAGGCGATGATACCGGCCAGCACCCACAGGCCGACAGACATCATATGGGCATGGCTCTGATCTGCCAGAGGGACAAAAAGAAACAAAAAAAGAGTGAATATTGAGGAAATACACTGCAGTTAAGTGGGTTATTTTGTGCATGGGGGTGGGGGAAGGGGGTGGTTTGCTATCCTCCTTCTGAACAAGCTTGTAGACCGGCTGCAATGCTTATCCTTCAGCCTTTTCGGAGCCGCTGACCCAGAACCGACACGCAACAATTGAAGTCAGAACGTCCGATCTGCATACCTGTTGTGGGTCAGTGACTCAAAGTACTGAAGCCAAAGGATTAGCATGATGGCCAAACAACTAGCATTTCCAGGTGGTCAGCAATACCAGCTTCCATATTTATCTCAGTACTGGTTTGCTTGAATTTGTGCCTGAGCCCAAACTGGGGAGATTTTCCTTCACTTCCTGTTCCTTTAATCCGACAGAAGTTCTCTCCTTTCTCATTCTACCCTGCATGGTTATACTGTCTTATTGGGTCCCAAAGCCCTACACCATAGAAGCCATGTTTTCCATGTATTGCACCGATGATGGTGAAAAAGCTTGAAACAGCTGTCTGCAGTTTGGAATAAATGGCTCCATAGAACAAGGGTTGGCACCTTAAGCACAGCAGCTGTTGCGGAACTGCAAATCCCAGGAGGCATTGCAAGGCTATGACAGCCACAGGTATGACCCTCAGAAGCATGATGGGATTTGTAGCTTTACCAATGCTGGAATGCTGAGGTTGCCTACCCCTGCTCTATAACATCTGGCTATATATAAACCAACAGTTCTGCATGTGTATCCGGGTGATGGGGCATAAAGGGATGGTTTACAAGGTTCCGCCCACTGAAATGAGGAATAATCCTTTTATTTTTGGGTGGAATGGAGGATGAGAGTACCTTGCCCTTCCCCACAGGGGGTCTCTCTTTGGGAGAGCCTTCACCAAGGACATGGTGGACAGGCTTTGGCTGGTCCCTAAGGATCGGAGTCCACGTGGACCAGGGTACCCCATCAGGAGCCTTATGCCAAGGGGAGTGGGGGTTCTGGGATTCAAGGGCACTCTTCACAACAGGACAATAAGCCTCGATCACTCCTTACCATGAGAATGTCCATGTCCGTGATGACCATGTGACCCGTGAGTCTCCTCCTCCTGGTGATGAGAGTGCGGCTCTAGTGGAAGGGGAGACAAAGTTCGTTTAAAATAAAAATTATGCGTTAATCCTCACTATGGCGGCACACAGCACTGGAAAGACCCTAAACGTTTTATACCCAGGGCGTGGGGGATAAGGTGCAGGAAGGCATCTCCCAGCAGCCCCCCTGAGGCGAAGCTCAGAAGCAGCTTGAGCAGGGACTGATGTTGGCTGCTGTTGGACTGCACCGGGATCAGGAAGAGGATGAAGAACGGCGCGGCCGAGATCAGCAGCGTGGCACCGATCGCCTGCAAGAGAAAGAGGCTGTTAGTAAATCGCTCTACACATGGAAAGAATGTCATCAGCATGAACAGAACAAACAACGAGAGCAAACAGAACGCGCCGGGTGAAAACAATCTGTACAGCAGATGGAGAGCGTCAGTGAGAACAGACACACATGCGAGAGATTACAACCGCATGGGAACTCTGGCAACGTGAAGGTACATTGCAGGCGAAGCCCTGGCAGAGCTCACTAATGAAGAACTGACAAGAGGACAACTCCCCGGGTGTGGTGGGCGACATAACAATCCGGAGCCAGTCAGCCCACTCTATGATAAGTGGCCAACGTTGAATTTTAAAGGCTTAGTCCACCATATTTAGATGCAACATGGACACATTCCCCGAGCCCCCACAATCAGCATGGCTCTGCCCTCATCCATTCACATGGATCCGAGTATGGAAAGACCACCACCACAGCAGAGGGACTCACAGTTCTCAATAGAGCACAAGGGCAGAGATGTCACTGCACATATAGTCCATTGATAACTCATTTCAGCCCCATGCAGAAGACCTGTACCGACCTGGGGCTGCGGGGGGGAGGGGGTATACGATCCATGGGCCTGTGCACTGCAATGCTCTGCAGGCTTCAATGCAGAAATGTAGAGATTGCCCATTTCTTTATTATTATATGTGGGCGCATTCATTCATTTTGTTGTAAAAGGTGGACTATGCCTTTAAAGCCACTTGTAGAGTGTGCGCAGTATCATACATGGACATTAGTCTCTGGGTAATGCCCACACCTGTTACTGCTCAGGGTCCCCCAGCAAAGAGGAATGTCCCTGAGGGATTACTCTCGGTCACGGCATAGGCTGGCAGATACGTCAATCTGGAGCCAAAACCATCGGCCACGTGACCATTAGCCCAGTTTACCACTAAAATACAGAAATTAAGTCAGATTGGAACAAAAATTAAAGTACCGATCGCCTTTATGTTTTTTTAATGTTTCCCCAGCCGAAGCAAGAACTCCCATTGGCTGGAGCATGAAAATAAAGATTACCACGCTCTGTGTGGGACAGCCTGACACGCCCCGCGCCTCGTCATCACTACAGCGGTCATGGCTCCAAGCTAATTGCAGCTGTGCCAAGGCAAGGGGGCATGTCATACCGATGTACATAGACCCCTGTACAAAGCGTGGTGCTCTTCACCTGCACGGTCCCATATGGAAATGAGAGTCTTCTGCTGGTGAAGAAGTTAAAAAATAAACCAAAAAAGGACAAACAAGACCATTAGTAGTTCCCTTTAAACCCACTGCATTGCTGTATTTAGGGGTAAACTACAACTGGGCTGAGATTTTTACACATGCCACGGGTTCATTTTGTCATCGTTCCTAGCAGCTGCTTATACTCATGACCTGGAGAGTATTCAGGACCGAGGACTCTTTCTCCGCCTCCATGTGCTGGGTACCTGAGCGGCCCAACAGCGCGCACCAGCACCGTGACATGGAAGGGGAGGGAGTCACATGACCACCACGCCTGACATACCAAGTATGCCACTTTGCTTCCCCAAGTAATTGGAGCAGCATGGGGAGTGAAGGGAAAGCAAGTGAGTATAAGCAGCTGGTGGGGTCAGAATTAAACCTGCATAACCAAAACGCAGGTTCACTTTACACACAACTCCACACAGATATACAAGAGAAGCACCAATGGATGCAGCTATGTGTTCATTACATTTATTTTTATAATGCAGCTAATGTAAGTACCTAAAACTGACTTTATATTAGCCCTTGTTATCAATGTACAGCATAGGGGGGTGCAGTGCAAGGAGCCAATCAGGCATGCTGCAGTGCATATGACAGGAGGAGAGAGCAGAGTGAACAGGAGGATGGCTCATCATTGTGCTTTCACTGTCCAGTTAGTGGCTGGGGGCAAGAAGGTGCAACTGCAATATAGACAAGTCAAGTCCCCACCTTCCTGTAAGGATTGTGTACATATCAGTATTGGCTAATTATGGCTAAAAAGTGTCATACTCACATAGGTCCACAGTGTCACCGGGTCCAGCTTCTCTCTTGCCCCCTGTGATGGAGGAGGTGGAGAGTCTACAGGGGCTTCCCTCTTAACAGGCTGTTCAGCGCCCTCCTGAGGCGCATCACCAAACTGCCAGCGGCTCCTGAACTCATCAAGATCCTCCTGACCATGACCGTGGTGATCGTGCTTCTGAAGGCCCTCGTGACTGTGCCCGTGTTCTTGCTCATGGCTGTGTCCATGATGCCCATGGCTGTGGCCATGGTGACCTTCATGACTGTGGCCATGGTGACCTTCATGACTGTGGCCATGGTGACCGTGGCTGTGCCCATGGTGATGACCTTCATGGCTGTGTCCGTGATGATTCTGAGCCAATGCAATGCACAGCAGATTGACCACCACTAAGGCCATCAACGCGGCACAGGCCGCTCGCCCTCCTTTCTGCCAGATACGACCCATCTCACCTGGAAGACAAAATGGAAACAGTGAGGGTGGCCGAGATAATCTTATATAAAGAAGGGAAGGGGCATCTTGGCAGAAGAAATGGGATCCATGTTCTGTCTTATCTGGGTGCTAAACTCCGCCCACCCACTACAGCCACAGAATGAGGGTCTCACTTCGCCACCAGACTCCCAATGATTGTAGTCCACAGAGCTCCTGGTACACAGTGACTGCATCAGGGAGATTCCACCACTAGAGTCCCCAAGAGACACAAGCTGCCAGTGGGCGATTCCACCAAAAACTATTCGTTTTGGGATGACTCGAATATTATTAAAGTGTATCATATGAATGGATGACGAGGATCAGATTTGAATGGTATAGCACGGGAACCAAAACAACTGCGACACCCCGGATAAGAAAACTCTGAAAGTTGATTGGTGAAGTAAGAAACCTTCGTCTGGTTCCCAAACTGCCGGGAATTTGGGGCCGTCATAATTCCAGACCTGTCCCAGGAGGACGCAGTATGGAAAACTACCAAAACCCACCGAGAGGAGATGGGGGCCCCAATGTCTTCCAGTGTGAGAATACGGGGGGGAGGAAGGAAATGCCTTCCAGTGAGAGAAGACCGGGGGGCCGCAAAGCCTTTGACCTACGTCCATGAAACCAATGTTTCATATCTGGCAGTGAGGTCACTTGTTTGTCATTTTTATTTATAGTCCCACTTTGATTTCCTGCAGCAGAGACACAACAGGAAGTAAATGAAAATCGGTATTGCAGCAAAGCAGGTTAAATGCATTGGTGCGATGCAGTGGCCCTCGTGCTGTTGTAAGGCACCCCAGCAGATTGATGTGTGTTGTAGGGGGCCAAACGAACATCGCTCAACACTCCTCTCCCCCCAACCGGGCACCACCTCAATGTGATGCCACAGAGC